ACTGGACACGGCCCAGGAGGAAGGAGCAGAACCACTGTATAACAGTGCCCCCAGCTCCCAACCCCTCTAGATGGTCCAGAAGGATGTTATGGTTGATGGTGTCAAAGGCCGCTGAGAGATCCTGCAGAACTAGGAAACAGCTCATGGGGAGGTCATGGGGGAGCTGCTGCCTTTGTGCTCCGGTCCTGCTCACAGACCTCCCCCTGAAGCATCTGGCTGGCCACAGTGAGAACAGGCTGCTGGCCCAGCTGGCTTCACCAAGCTGCAGGGAATATTCTGCCCCGGCTGAATTGCTCCCTTGCAGGCAGCCATTTGAAAAGCACTGGCGGCTCAGCCTGAGCAATCCTGCTGCTTCCTTTGCGGCATCACAGGAGCCATGGCAGAGCCTTGCACCCAGCCGGCCTCTCAGGGATCCCTCTCGACCAGCTGCCACCCAGCTCAGCCCAGATGAAGACTTGAAGACCTCTGCCCCCTGCTGGCCTCCTCACAGCACGCCTGGCCAAAACAGGCCCCTGCAGTCCTGGTGGGTGTGGAGTGGGGAGCCCCAGCTGGTGGAGGTGGGGCAGAGGCACCCCACTCCCCTCTTTGGCAGCAAGGTGCTCCGCCCCCGGCAGCGTCCAACACGTCAAAATAATCACGACATCTTCAGCATTTGGAGATTATCACTATTAAAGTCATAATGAAGTCACCCAGCCCTACTAAGAAAGTCTCTGAGCATGTGCAAAGCATGCCCCACCCCACTGTAAGTGGAACCAGCCCTTGATAATCGAGGGAAAGAGCATGTATATCGTGTCTAAGTGGGGGGGTGCATCTGTGGCCGGGGGCAAGAGAAGGGCTTTCTCAAAGGCTCCGTTGAGATTGTGGCAGAGACCCAAGTCAACCTGGGAGCCTCCTGGTGGCAGGGTAGGGTGCCCTGACCATGACCCTCTGTGCCTCTGGGTGCAGCTCCTGGGACACTTCATGGAGTCACAGAATCACTGTGATTGTAGAGTTGGAAGGGACCTCCAAGGATCATCAAGTCCACCCCCATGCTGGTTTGCAGGGAATATTTCCTCTTAGGAATTGGCAGGCCCCAGTGCCAAAAGGGAGGGTGGGGCCTTAACAGGGCAAGAGGGCCTTCTCGGTGGTGGTGTCCGCCCTGTGGAACGCCCTCCCATCAGATGTCAGGGAAATAAGCAGCTATCCTATTTTTAAAAGACATCTGAAGGCAGCCCTGTTTAGGGAAGCTTTTAATGTCTGGTGTTTTATTGTGCTTTTACTTCTGTTGGGAGCCACCCAGTGTGGCTGGGGAAACTCAGCCAGATGGGCAGGGTATAAATAATAAATTATTATTATTATTATTATTATTATTATTATTATTATTATTATTATTATTGAGATGACATCACAGAGCTCTGTGACATTGCCCTGGAAACGGTGGTGTCACACTGTAGGAGCACAGCATGGCTCCCCAGTTAGGGCTCCCCTCCTCCTCCTCCTCCTGCTGCTGCTGCATTTTGTAGGTAAGTTGGGCTCCTTGCCTCTTGCTCAACTTGCCTCTTCCTGGAGGGAACTTCCGTCCTCAGCTGTTACCCACCACAGTTAGACTGAGCGGCTCCCCGTGGTGAAGAGGCCAGGCCCCCCCAGGGGCGGGTGCTGGGTGGCAAGCATCAAGGCAGAGCCACCCCTCCCTCCATGCCCAGCCTAGCGGGTGCCAGAGACCAAACCCAGCAAGGAAATAATAATCTCCCCCTTGCCCTTTTATGGGAGGGGGGCCTGGCAGGGGGTGAGAGCGGCTGCACAGAAGGGGGCAGAAGTATGGGCACAGGAAACTACCAGTGCAGACCACTGGATCCATCTAGCTCCATACTGTCTTCACTGACTGGCAGCAATGGCGCCCCAAGATTTTAGGCAGGGGACTTTCCCAGCCGCCCCTGGAGATGCTGCCAGGGACTGAGCACAGAACCTTATGCATACCAAGCAGGTGCTCTGCGCCACTGACCTCAGACCACCTCCCCAAGCAGAGAGGATGTTGCGCCTGATCCAGCGAGGGATGGGGCTCAAGTGGTGGAGACAGCTGTGGGCCAAATCCAGCCTCAGGTATGCCTGGCACAGCAGAAACAAAGGCAGGGGGGCAGAAGTCACTGCAGGATGGTGGAGGTGGAGGGGGGCTCTGGGCCATGTGCTGTGGGGGAGGGACCTGGCACAGGGGCTGCTGGTCTTGGCAGGGCACCACAGAGTGTATTGCGCGATGACCAGCCTCATCGAACCAGCATGCTTGAGTCGGATGAATGCAGGAAGGGGTTAATGCCACAGAGTCAGCTGTCCTGCCAGGTTTAGCTAGCTCTCTCTCTTCACCTTGGCAGGTGCCTCAGTCTACCTGAGAGGTTCAGTGGGTCAAGAGGTCTGAGCTGCCTGCTGCATCTCATTGGCTTCATGGGGGCGGGGGGGGGGGTCCTCAGTGATTTCCTGCCCCCCATGTTTCCTGCCCTTCCTCTTCCAGGCTGCTGCCTCCCTCCTATGCGGTGCCTGACCAGAAAAAAGTGAGCTATTCCAGCCATGCCAACAAGGTGAGTGGGGGCTGTTGTCACTCTGCCCTGCTTTGCGTTGCCCCTGCCCTGAGTGAGGCTGCCTGGGACTCCTTTTGGCTGCCCCCACCCCGAGAGAAGGCACGCTGGGCAGCAGGTGCTTTGGCAGAAGGTGGGAAGCGGGTTCAAGGCGGCCTTGAGGCTCAGGAGGGGACCACTGAGACGGAAAAGCATCCCCTCCACAAGATGGAGGGAGAGAGGGGGGGTCCTGGACCCAGTGGAAGCTGCCAGGGCATGAGCTCTGTTGTGCCACCGCCAGCCCCCCCCCAAACAGGAAGCATCGCCTTTTCTTTCAGGAATCAACATCCTTTGTCACAAACATATTCAACGGGCACCTGGCCCCCGAGAACGTCTTCCCCTTCCCTTCAGGTAGGAGTGGGAGCCACCTCAGCCAGCGGGGGTCTCTGGGGGGTGGGGTGAGGGGTTTGATCCTCCTGCTGACCCACCCGCCGCTCTGCCCCCTCCAGTGCTCTCCCCGGAGCAAGCGCAGTCCCTGCAGGCCATGGTGGATCCCTGCACCCGCTTCTTCGAGGTGAGTGAGAATCATAGAATCCTAGAGTTGGAAGAGACCACAAGGGCCATCGAGTCCAACCCCCTGCCAAGCAGGAAACACCATCAGAGCACTCCTGACATATGGTTGTCAAGCCTCTGCTTAAAGACCTCCAAAGAAGGAGACTCCACCACACTCCTTGGCAGCAAATTCCACTGTCGAACAGCTCTTACTGTCAGGAAGTTCTTCCTAATGTTTAGGTGGAATCTTCTTTCTTGTAGTTTGGATCCATTGCTCCGTGTCCGCTTCTCTGGAGCAGCAGAAAACAGCCTTTCTCCCTCCTCTATGTGACATCCTTTTATATATTTGAACATGGCTATCATATCACCCCTTAACCTCCTCTTCTCCAGGCTAAACATGCCCAGCTCCCTTAGCCGTTCCTCATAAGGCATCGTTTCCAGGCCTTTGACCATTTTGGTTGCCCTCCTCTGGACACGTTCCAGTTTGTCAGTGTCCTTCTTGAACTGTGGTGCCCAGAACTGGACACAGTACTCCAGGTGAGGTCTGACCAGAGCAGAATACAGTGGCACTATTACTTCCCTTGATCTAGATGCTATACTCCTATTGATGCAGCCCAGAATTGCATTGGCTTTTTTAGCTGCCGCGTCACACTGTTGGCTCATGTCAAGTTTGTGGTCAACCAAGACTCCTAGAGGGTGAGGAGGCCTGAGGTTCCATTTTGCCAAATTAAGCCAGCATCCATCTTTGGGTGCCCTGGGCAGCTGAGCGTAGCAAGATTGGGTGGGCATCTGAGAGGGCACATCTGGGCACTTGTCCACACAAGAACAAATCCTGCCCTGGAGGGAAGCGTATAAAGCTGGAAAAACATTGCTCAGACATGCAAAATCCGGCAAAAGTATCATTTCTCACCTTTTCAGATTTCACTTTTGAAATCCTTTAAAAAACAAAACATAATTCTTCCGTCTTGGGTGTTGAGTGATTTGCCCCTTAGACCCTTGACTCCAAATGTATCCACAGCTGTTAACTTGGAAAGACCCTTCGGATCAGAAGACAACTCTCTCTTTCCCCCTTTTTCTTTTTGGCAAACCAGGCCTAGAAGGAGGTCTCTTGCTTTAGGCCAAATCTTCCCTGGAACTCCCTGCCACAGGAAAGTGGCCTTAGGGGAGGGTCTGCCTTTGCTTTGTTCTTTTCAAACTGTGGGCAGGAAGTGAACGACCCAGCTGCCAACGAGGAACTGGAGAGCATCCAGGAGGAGACCCTGGCCGGCCTCAAGGACATGGGCTGCTTTGGCCTCCAGGTGCCCGAGGAGATGGGGGGCATCGGGCTCACCAACACGCAGGTGAGAGGGACTGATGGGGGGGTGTCCAATGGGACTCTGGGGAGGAGGAGGCCTTTGATATAGCCAGGAGAGGGGGGGGTGAGGCAGAGAAGGGGCCAGAATTCCCCATTCGTGCAGCCCCTGCCCACGCAGAGATGTGGGAGCATGGGTGGGTGGGGGTGCACACTGATGCTCCAGGTGTGATGGGCCAAGGGGAACTCATCTCTCTGGGGAGACCCCTCCTCCATCTTTGCCTTGTGGGGCTGGGTGAATCAATGGCTGCCTGCCCCGCGTGATGCCAACCTCAGAGCAATTCACCCCCCAGTATGCCCGCATGGTGGAGGTGGTCGGGATGCACGACCTCGGGGTGGGCATCGCCCTCGGTGCCCACCAGTCCATCGGCTTCAAGGGGATCCTGCTCTTTGGCACGAAAAGCCAGAAGGAGAAATACCTGCCCAAGTTGGCAACTGGTAAGACAACCCCCCCCTCCCTGAGGTGAGACCTGCCGGGGCGGCGAGGGCAGCAGCGCTGTCGGAAGCCCAAACCAGGCAGGGGACGCGGGCGGGAGCCGTCGGGTCTCCTTCCGCCGAACAGCCGCAGGGGTGAGAGGCCAGCCTAGCCGCCGCCCAGAGACGGCGCGCCCAACCTCGGAGGGGCGCTGGCTGCCTCTGAGAGTCCCGGGAGCCCCCCGACCGGGGCGCCCCGTCGAATGAGCGGCTCGTCTCTCCTTGCGCCAGGCGAGGTTTACGCCGCCTTCTGCCTGACAGAGCCGTCGAGCGGGTCCGACGCCGCCTCCATCCAGACGACGGCGGAGCTCAGTCCCTGCGAGCGCTATTACACCCTCAATGGGGGCAAGATCTGGATCAGGTGAGGGACAGATCCGGATCAGGACCCCCCCCCAGGGTGGCCCGGCGGGCTTCCCTGCGCCCTCCCTGACTCCTCTCGGTTCCAGCAACGGCGGCACCGCCGAGATCTTCACGGTCTTCGCCAAGACGCGCGTCAAGGACGTGACGACGGGCGAGGAGAAGGACAAGATCTCGGCCTTCATCGTCGAGAGGGCCTTCAAGGGCGTCACCAGGTGAGCCCCGCGGGGCGATAGGGGCACAGGGAGATGCCGGGACGGGCGGCCACGCTCCGGGGAACTTGGGAGGAGGGACTAGCCTCGGGACGCGGGCAGAGTGCGCATCCCTCGCCCCTGGGTCGCCACCGGCGCAGGAGCCTAAAGGGACGCGGCTGGTTGCGCCGTCGGCTGCGCGGGGACCGGGCTGGAGCCGAGCGCGGCCGCGCCGCCCTGCGCCTCCGAGTCCTGAGCCCCGCTCTCCCTCTCAGCGGCCCCCCGGAGCAGAAGATGGGCATCAAGTGCTCCAACACGGCCGAGGTGCACTTCGACGGCGTGCAGGTGCCGGCGGAGAACCTGCTGGGCGGCCGGGGGCGCGGCTTCCAGGTGGCCATGCACATCCTCAACAACGGGCGCTTCGGGATGGCCTCGGCGCTGGCCGGCACCATGCGCGGCGTCCTCCGCAAGGCGGTGAGCGGGGCTGCCGTCGGGGGGCCGGAGCGAGGGAGGGAGCCGCCCGTGCCCGCGCTGAGGCCCTGCCCCGACCCGCCCGCAGGTGGAGCACGCGGCCAACCGGCGGCAGTTCGGGAGCGCCCTGAGCAGCTTTGGCACCATCCAGGAGAAGCTGGCGCGCATGGCGATGCTGCTCTACGTGACCGAGGTGAGGGGGGGGGGCGTTGGGCCCGACGCCTGAGGACAGGCCCTGGGGGGCGGGAAGAGGCGCTGCGCCTTGGGGGGATTCCTGGGAGCTCTTCCACTGCCGGGTGCCCAGCGGTGCCTCTGCCCGCCCCTTCCAGGCCATGGCTTACGTGCTGAGTGCCAACATGGACATGAAGGTGCCCGACTACCGCCTGGAGGCCGCCATCAGCAAGATCTTCGCCTCGGTGAGTGGATGGGGAGGAACGAGAGTGCGGAGGGAGCGGACCACCCCCGGCACCACTATTCCAGTAGGGTGCCATCATGCCCCCCCCCCAGGATGCGCGCCACGCCCCCGCCTGCTCTCCATCCCGTAGCGGAGCATGCAACTTCGCCACTGAGTGGGTCGGTGGGGGACATGTCTCTCCAAGGAAGCCAGGCTGGCTCTCCCAAATCTCCATCCCTCAACCCACCCTCTCTGCTGGGCAGAAACTGATTGGCCTCGCAGGGGCTGGGGGGGCACCCTCTGGAGCTCTTGAGGAGGCACTCCCTGACTCTAAATTCCTGGCTTGCCTCTCCCTGGCCTGCTAAAAGTGCTGCGTCCTCCTGACCTGTTCCCTGCTGGCCTCCTGCTTCCGGTCCCAGAGGGGGCACCTGTCTGGCCAGCAAGGCCTTTGGGGTGGTGGCCCCAGATCAGCTGAGGCTGCCCTTGCTGCCTTGGGCTGTTTCCGTCCCCAGGAGGCAGCCTGGACAGTGACCGATGAAGCCATCCAGATCCTGGGCGGGATGGGCTACATGAAGGTCAGTCAGGGGAGAGGGGGCGGGGGGTCTTGCAGGGGCGGCTCCTTTGGGCCCCAACCGGGCAAGAGCCTCAGGCCAGTGGAGGTGACCTTGCTTCCTTTGGCCAGGAGACGGGAGTGGAGAAAGTCCTGCGAGACTTGAGGATCTTCCGCATCTTTGAGGGCACCAACGACATCCTCCGCCTGTTTGTGGCGCTGGGGGGCATGAAGGTGAGCCCCCCCCGGTCTTTGACCAAGGCTGCCCTCCCACTGGTCCTGCGCAGGAAGGCCGCCCTGCCTTCTGGCCCACCTGCCTTGACACCTCGTTGGCCTTCTCAGAATTCACTCAGCCTCTCCTTGGCTGCCACAAGCGTCAATCAAAGCCCTCAGGACCCGCCACTAGATGGCACTTGGAGCACAAGAAGCTGCCTTCCTGGGGTCCATCTAGTTTAGCACTTCCTACACTGACTGGCAGGGACGCGGCTGGCGCTGTGGGTTAAACCACAGAGCCTAGGACTTGCCAATCAGAAGGTCGGCGGTTCGAATCCCTGCGACGGGGTGAGCTCCCGTTGCTCGGTCCCTGCTTCTGCCAACCTAGCAGTTCGAAAGCACTCCCGGGTGCAAGTAGATAAATAGGTACCACCTAAGGTAAACGGCGTTTCTATGTGCTGCTCTGGTTCACCAGAAGCGGCTTAGTCCTGCTAGCCACATGACCCAGAAGCTGTACGCCGGCTCCCTTGGCCAGTAAAGCGAGATGAGTGCCGCAACCCCAGAGTCAGTCACGACTGGACCTGGTCAGGGGTCCCTTTACCTTACACTGACTGGCAGCAGTGGCTCCCCAGGATCTGAGGCAGGGGACACGCCCAACCATACCTGGAAATGCTGCCATGGCGGATGGAACTGGGGACTTTCTGAGTGCAAAGGGGGTGCTCTGCCCCCTGAGCCATGGTCTTCTGCCTGTCTGCTGCTGGGGGCTCCCACCCTGTGGAGACTGGGAGAAAGCAGTCAGAGCCCCCCCGGAGTGAACCAGGAGCCCCGGCAGATGTCCTGGACAGTTGTCCTTTGGCCAGCACCATATTCAGCCTGTTAGATGGCACACCAACCCCATGAGGTCGGCTGCCATTAGTTTTGTTTTCTAGTGGAGGCTGAGAAGCCCAAAGGAGTTCATGGCAGAGCTTTCTCCCTGAGCCAGGCCAGAATCTCTCTGGCAACCCTCCCTTGCTGGGCTGCCCCTTCTTCCATGGCTTGTCCGTGGGTCCTTTGTGGGCAGGAACCTTAGAGGCAGTTCCCCAGTTCATGGGCTGGAGCTGCCCTCTGCTCTGCTCCAGGTTGACCCAAGACTCTGGGGGAAACCGGAGGGGTGGAGTGGGGTGCCCCACTCCCACCCCTTTTGCAGAAACAGCCTTGGGGCTGAACCTCCTCTGAGCAGGGCGACTCTCTCTGCCCATAGCATGCTGGAGAGGAGCTGCAGCGCCTGCAGAAGTCCCTCTCCAATCCGGTGGGGAAGGTGGAAGCCCTCTGCAAGGAGATTGTCATGAGAGCCAAGCGGTGAGGAGCATGTCTGGGGCTATTGGGGGGGGGCTGTGAGCCCCCATGTCCAGCTTGGGGGCAGAAGCGGGTGCCTGGGGTGTTCCTCTGGTCTGAGGGGGAGTGGGTGGAACTGTGGTTTAAACCACAGAGCCTCTTGGGCTTGCCGATCGGAAGGTTGGTGGTTTGAATCCACACGACGGCATGAGCTCCTGTTGCTTAGTCCCAGCTCCTGCCAACCTAGCAGTTCAAAAGCATGAAGTGCAAGTAGATAAACAGACTGGAGCTTTTACCGTTTCCCCCCCTCTGGTCTGATGCAACAGCCAGGAGGGACAGCCCACAGACTCGCTGGTTTGCTCTCCATCAACCTTCTGATTTCTATCTTGAATGTCCAGCTGACAGTTCTGTTCCTCTTCCAAGTTCTGCACATCTCCTTTCTTTCTCCTTCCACTGCAGGAAAGTTGGGCTTCCCAGTGGCCTCTCTCTGCAGGGCGATGTTCACCCAGACCTGGAGGACTGCGCGACTCTGGTGAGACATCATGGTGGGATAAAAAGGAGTTTGGAGCTCAGCTGTGATTGGATCCATGTGTTGGCAAGGAAGCAAACCTTGGAGCTGTAGAGAGCTATGTACACAAATAATCTTTGTGTGCAGACACTTGTTACATTGCCAGCAAAAACTGGTCCCCTCAAAAGCACCAGGTCCCCCTTTGCGCCTATCCTGAGATGCTGTTGCAACTTTAGCTCCTCTTTCCATCGTGCCAGTGAAGAGGACACCCCAGGTCGGGTAAGCTTTTTGGCTCAATGGCCCACAGGATCTGGATCAGCCTCAAGGGCCAGATTTGACGTGTGGTTGGGGCTGCCTTAAAGCCCTTTGCAAAAGCACTCTTTGGAGCAGCTTTGGGCACTTTCTCTAAGTGGACAGTATGTGGTGGTGATGGTGGGGATCCGTGTGGCAGATAGCAGAACGAAGCCAGTAAGATACAGGCTGCTCTTCCTGCTTCTGCCCCTGATTGTTTAAGAAGGACAGAGCTGCTTCAGAGAGTGCTTTTGCAAAGGGTTTTAACTCTTGCCTATCAGCTGATGAGCAAAAATTGAACCCTGTTGCCTTGGCTGCGTGATCCAGTTCCCTGTCCTCCCATCAGCTGACATTCCCGGTGACATCAGCTGATGGGCAGGTAGGCCTGGCTTGAGAGAAATGTGGGTCAAATGAGACCCCTTGGCAGGATGAAGTGGGCCCATGGATTGAAGGTTCCCCACCCCTGCCCTACGTGGGTGTCTGCATGGGGTGTTCTTCCAGAGCAGGGTGCCAGAGCCCCCTCCACACCTGTCCCCAGGTGGGGCCTGGAAGGGCAAGCTCCTCCTGAAGTGCCGGCTGCCTGAGAGGTGGATGTTGTCCCCCAGGGGTGGGGTGGGGGGGGCTGAGGCTCCTTTCCAGCTGGTTCTTCAGCCTGGTCTTTCTGAGATGCCATCTCTGTGCCTGTAGGTACTGTAAATATGCAAAGAGCAGCTGGTGGAGAAACAGGGAGGGGCCTGTAAAGGAAGAGCTGCTGGCCCCCATCAGGACTATTTTCAGCCTGGGGGGCGGAGGGGTGTGGGCATGTGTGGGCATGCCAGGCTAGCCCTGTCCTTTGCCCTTCCTCCGCCCAGGTCACCAAGGCCATTGATCTGTTTGGTGAAACGGTTGAGAGTCTGCTGCTGAAATACGGAGCTGCAGTGGCAGGTACCCCCCCTGCCCCCCAACAAAAATCAGGCCCTGCTTTGCACCTCAAGTCCCTCCCTGGATCAGGAGCCATGGGGAGCAGGGCCTGACCAGGCAGGGGAGAGACCCCAGCCTGACTTTCTGAGGTGGGGCATGGAGGCCTCTTGTCAAAGGTAGGGGACCAGCCAGGCCCCACAACCTCCTGTGGGTGTTCTTGGGAAGGACTGTTGGGGGGGCCACACAGTGGGGCAGGTTCAGTGTCTGCTGTGTCATGGGTTGGGGGGGATAATCCAAGTCTGCCTGCAAAAGCAAACTCACCTCCTTAGCAATTTCTGGAGTGAGAAGCAGAGGCCAGGCCAGCTGCCCCAAATCTTGCCTGACGCCCCCTCTCCCCCCAATTCCTCCGTCAGACCAGCAGTTCCACCTGAAGCGCGTGGCGGACTCTGCCATCGACATCTACGCCATGGCTGTGGCTCTCTCCAGGTAGGGAGTCTGCCTTTGCAGGGCGAGAGCAAAGGGGCCCACGGTTTGCCCCCAGGCTCTGCAAACTTAGGGGCCTGACCCCTGGGGGGGCCGTGTCAGGCTCTGGGCTCCCCTCCTGTGGGCTCTGGCCTTCCCTCGCTCCCTCTTTCTTCTTGCAGGGCCAGCCGCTCTCTTTTGCTGAAGCAGCCGGCAGCGCAGCACGAGGAGCTCTTGTGCCGGACGTGGTGCCATGAGGCAAGGGGTGGGGTGGGAGGAGGACCCCCGTAGCCCCTTCCTCGGCCTGGGCTCAGCCATGTCCTCCCTCTGGCCCCTCGCTCCCCTTGGCTCTGCCTTGGCCCCACGGAGGCTTCTCAGACCCAGACTTCCTCCCCCTGGCTGCCCCTTCCCCAGCCCCCCCCCCCCGTTTCCTGCCGGGTGATCCATTCCTCCTCCTCCTCCTCCTCCTCCTCCTCCTCCCAGTCCTCAGGCAGGAGCTGAGCCTTGCAGGATGTAACCAGGTGTGAAATGCTTCTCTCCTCAATTAGCCATAATTGCAGGGAGGTATTTGGGCCTCTCGCCAGAGCACCTGGCTGTGGCTCTTTGAAGCTTCCGCCGGCCTGGAGGAAGCCTCACTGGTGATGGGTCTCCCCCTGGGGCCAAGAACAAGGTGGCTCACAAGGTGCCAGCCCCGTGCCAGCTCTTGCCCAGGCTGGGCAGCTGTGTCCTGGAAGGACCCCGAGCCTCCCTCCCTCGCCAGCTTTTCCCTGTGGTCCTGGCAGTGCCCTGGGTGCCTGTGGCTGCTGCCCTGTGTCGGGTGGCCGTGACTGGTCTCCCGTGTGGGTGGGTGACGCTCCTCCTGTGTCCCACAGGCCTTCCAGCGCGTCCGCCAGGCTCTGCGGGAAGCCAATTCACTGGCCTGGGAGGAGTCCTTTGCCGGCATGAAGCTGATCTCCGATGCCCTGGTGAAGAATGGAGGCGTTGTGGCTGCTCACCCGCTCGGCTTCTGAGCTCCGGGGGGCTTTCAGTCAGGGACTGGAAGGAGCTTGGCATCTATTAAAGCTGATTTAAAGCCAGCTGCCTCCGTTTCCCTGGTGGTCTGCCCTGGTCTGGCACAGGCAGCTTCCGGTGCTCCTGGCTCTGGGCTCTGGCTGGCTCCCCTCCTCTCCCGCTTTGGACAAGCACTCCTGACATCTTCAGCAGAGGCTGGATGGCCACCCGCCTGGGATGCTTCAGTTGAAATCCCTACATTGCCGGGGGTTGGGCTAGATGACCCTCGGGGTCCCTTCAAACTCTACAGTTCTAGGATTCTAAGACGGCCATCCAGCCTCTGCTAAAACCTCCAACGAAGGGCAGCCCAGAACTTTAACTCTGGAGCGTTCTCCGCAGGGCGGCCTCATTGGCCCATCTTGTTTCAGTCGGCCTTTCTGGTGATTATTGGCTGTGTTCGTTTTCATGCATCTACTGTAAATCTTCTTTGCTGCCCTGATGGCAGTGATGGAGTGATGGAGACCCCTCTTGCTTCCCCCAGTTCCTCGCTCTAGGGCAGGGGATGACTTCTGGGAAGTCGAGTGAGGCTGCACAGCGATCTTACTCTAGGGCTGCCATATTCTGGGGATCAAAAACTCAGGACCCCCCCAACTCCCTCGCTCGCCCCCTCCCTGCTGCTGCCCCCTTCTTCCCTCCCCTCTCTTCCCTTTGCTGTCTATGGCCTCCTGCTGACAATGGGAGGCTGAGCGACCCTGAGAAGGTCAGGCAAGGCCAGGCGACTGTGGAGACCGGCAAGGGGCCTGGCATGGCCCCCGCCAGGCCGCTCCAGGCCACTCGATGCCTGCTCCCTGTTCTGGGACACAGCACATTAAAAATAGTGAAAGAAGCAAAAACAAAAAGAAAAAAGAAAAACCCCCAAAACCTGGACATTTAATCCGAAATGCAAAAATCTTCCCAGATGAAGGTGCTGGCCCCCCAAAACTGGACTTGTCCAGGAAATCCCTGATGTGTGCCCCCCCTGTCTTACTCAAGGGGATCCTCTTCAGCCCCTGAGGTCTCCAAAGGTCACGTTCCTCCTAAAGGGTCTGTGGAACCAGAGGCCTCATCCTGCCTGGTGCTCTTGCAGCGTGTCCTGGACCCCAAGGAGTGAGGAGCAGATTTGCTTGTTGAACCACAAGCCAGGAGGGCTCTTCAGGCAGCGGGGGGGGGGGGGGGCTTGGATGCCACGAGGCGTTTGGCATCAGCACAAATGACCTGAGGCTCCTCTGTCCTTTGCCTGCCTCTTGGACAGTTGCACAGGCCTGTCCAGGAATCTGCAGCCGGAAGGAGATTCCCCCTCGGCAGCCGAGCGGAAGGAAGACAGCTGCCCGGGGGGTGGGGGGGTGGGGCGGCGTTTGCCACACACAGTCAAGGGAAAACTTCCACTGAAAGACAAGAAGGTAAAGCACCTTGGGTCTGGTACTTGCCAGCACCACAAAAGCATTCATTCAAGGCACAGAACAATATTGGCCACCTTGCCTTTTACGTAGGATGACAAATGCCCACAAACCACAAAGGACGTCCGGTCCCATCTCACCTGAGGTTGAGCCACCTGCTCCCATGCGAGCATTTAGAAAGGACCTGATGGGCTTGAGGAGCAGCATGAAAAGTTCCCCCCACAAAAGGACACATTTATCTACAGCTTGCACATGCTACTGCATTATTACTCATTTTTTTCTTTATTAAGTTTCTATACTGCCTTCACCCAAGGATCACAGGGCGATTTACAGTCTATCTGTAATTTGATGCCTTAATGTATTATATATTTTGATTTTAGACAGGCTGAGCCTGGTTCTGGCCGGGGAGGGCGGGATATTATTACTATTACTATTAATAATAATAATAATATCTGCATTGCACATGTATAGATGCAAAGGTAGTGTAGCTCTCTCCTCTTCCTCTTCCTTGCCTTTCAACCGGACCAGGACCGGCCTTCAAAGTGAGAACTGTCCTCCATAAAGTAGGACACCTAGGAGTTGATCATCCACCCAAGTGTGCCATGAGCCACCCTTAATCTTCTGCAGCTGAGGAGTTGGGGCTGATTCTGCCTCCAGAAATGCATTTGTCACTTCCTGTCCCTGGGACTCCGGTGGCTCTGATGTGCTCCTTGGAATGTCATGAATGGCTGTCACAACGGATGGCCATTAATTTTCCCAACACTTTTATCTGCCTGTTTCCATGTTGTTGCGAATTAAAATAAGCTTCCATTAAAACATTAAAATGGGACGTTGCGCTTGCTATTTTTGTCCTGCATCGAGTTTTGACCAAATACGCCGTATTCCCCTTGAAACATGTCTTCTAGTTATTGGATCTATTTACTTATAAAATAAGATTATCACCCAGCAATCCCATGGAAGCATCTTCCCTTCCTCTCTAGCAGGCAGAGAAAGAGCCTCTGCCTTGAGAGGGAGATCTCATTTTCATAGAATCCTAGATTGTTGAGTTAGAAGGGATTCCAAGAGTCATCTAGTTTAACCCTCCTCAATGCAGGAATTTCAAGTAAAGCATCCACGACAAATCACCACCCAACCACTGCTTAAAAACCTCCAATGAAGGAGAGTCTAGAATGGAGTCCTGTTCCACAGTCGACAGCTCTTGCCGCCAGAAAGTTCTTCCCATTGTTGAGTCGGATTCTCCTTTCTTGTAAACTGAAGCCATTGGTTTGAGTCCTACCCTCCAGAGGAAGAGAAAACGAGCTTGCTTCTGGACATGCAAAAAGATATTATATATAACGAGCTGCAAAAAAATGTTTTTAGAAATTATTTGTTAAAAGTTAAAGAAAAGCTTTCTTTTAGGCATAAGTGTATTAAAGGATCAGAAATATCTCTTATGTATGCAACTACAGCAGCCCAAATGGTATATATGCTCAGAATTGGAAAGGGGGCACAATACCAACAAAGGAAGGATGGAAAAATATTTAAAAGATGGAAAAATATTTCAAGAAGATTGAAAATGCTTTGTAGTTTATCTGCAAAATTACTGTAAGCATATTAAAAAGTTAACAGTAATAGAGTAAATTCAGCAGTAACAATTATTAGGCTATAAAACAGAAAGTGGAAATATTGGGAACAATTAGAATATGTAGTGGAAATGAAAATAAGGGGTGGAGGGAAGTCAAAACTAAATGTGTGTTTTGTATTTGGTTTATTGTTTTAATTGTTTTAATTATGAAAATGAAAAATGAAATTTAGAAAAAAGAAAACAAGCTTGCCCCCTCTTCCCTGTGACAGCCCTTGAGATATTTGAAGATTGCTCTCATATCTCCTCTCAGTCTCCTCTTTTCCAGGCTAAACATCCCCAGCTCCTTCAACCATTCTTCATACGGCTTCATAAGACCCTTGATCATCCTGGTCGCCCTCCTCTGCACATGTTCCAGCTTGTCAACATTCTTCTTAAATTGTGGTGCCCAGAATTGGACACAGTATTCCAGGCGTGGTCTGACCAAGACAGAAGAGAGAGGGACTCTGACTTCCCTTGATCTGGACACTTGACTTCTGTTGATGCAGCTCTGTGAAGCTTGTGGTCCACCAAGACCCCTAGATCCTTTTCACATGCACTACTGGTAAGCCAGGTGTCCCCCACTTCTTTGGAACCCCTGCCCTGCTTCCCTGATGTCTTCCATGACTCTTGTCCTGCTGATATTAGAACTCTGACATTAGAAGGACGGCAAAAGTGGGTGGGCCAGGGAAAGGACCCCACACCTTTCCTCCAGCCTTGGAGTCCCTTCCCTTCCTTCCCAATGGGAGGAAAATGATTTAAGGAACAAAAACAGGGAAAGTGTGGAGGAAGGAGAAAGCCCCCCCCCTCACCCAGGTGGGGAGGGCCTAAGCAGGTCATTGGCTGAGGCGGATGAAAGGCCTTGGGGTTCCCCCACCCACTTGAGGATTGCACCCTGAACCTCCTTCCTGCCCCAAAGCCATCCAAGACGACGTATATCTTCACGAAAAGCAGAAAGGGGGAAGGAAGAGCCAAACTTGTGCACAGTTGCAAGGCAGAGAAGGACCGGAAGGCATCTGGGCAGAAGGCGGGGATGGAGACACCTGTCCAGCTAGTTGACTCCTGCCAGGTGATGGGATCAGGTGACGATCTGAGCCTGCGAAGAATGAGGGTTGGAGGAAGAGGACTCACCCCTGTCCCTCTTCCCATTCCTGCGGCCTCTTACTCAAGGGCAGCGCAGAGGATTATATGGATGCCATTCAACTCTTGGGGCTGGTTGCTGCCGCAATATATAAATATATAAAAACAAACAAGAATGTGCTCTGCTCAAAATGCTAATGACTCTGAGCTAATTGGCAGGTGACACATTGCCTTGACTGTGACAGGTGCCTCTCCGGACCTTGCAAGAGGAAAGACCTGGCCAGGGCTGGCCGGCAGTCCC